AGGGCCAGTGATTGGGAAGAAGAGCTAGACACAGGGACCACGGACAAGATAGAACCTGCCCGTGTCTCTGTGTTTGTGTGCCGCTGTGTGTAATTATGAGGATTTTTAGAGAGTAATAGGTCAGTTCACTTCTATTTTCCAAATCTTGTCCAAATTCCTCTTTTTGGTCAATCCAACATAGAACCATATAGAGAAATAAATTGTGGGAACGGTAGTTCTGGCTTGAGCAAGTTGACACAGCTTAAACCCTAGCACATGGAGTCCAGTGAAATGTAGTCATTTACTTCAGATTTGAATAATTTCTTCTAATTCAGGGATTTGGATGTTTCTCTGCTTTATTCAATGAGTCTGGGGGCCTTTGTTCTAAAATCCTGGGACAGTTTTACACCCTGTGCTCCATGTGTCTGTCATCCTCTTTGGAACAGCTTCCCAGCATGGGTGAGTTGATCTTGAAGTTGGTAGAAAACCCTCTATAATTTTTCTGAATTCTCTCTCCTTTTCCTCCTTTACAATCTTCCTTTGATCCCACTGATGCTATTGTCTCCTGCTCTAGGGACTGAATATTTTTTATTTAGACCTCCACGAAACTATCAGCCTTTGGTGCTATGAAGTTTCATTGATTAATGGGGTTTGGAGGACGGAAGGGCTATGGGGTGAGGGAATTGATGCAAGAGACCTTTATGATTAGATCTCTTGGTGAAGCATCTATGACCACCATTTTCCCTTTGTTATCTTAGCTTTAGTGGATACCAGTCACCCAGGAAAGAATGTGATGGGAGAAGGGGGAAAACAAGAAAAATCTCATCCCATCACGAAGAGTCCCTAGTTTATTCCATTTACGTGTCCTGTGTATTAATATAGGAACTCCTTAGTAAGATATTCAAGAACGTACAGGACCTCTCTTCTCACTCCTGTCTTCTACCACTCCTCTATTTTGAATGACACTGGCTCCCCTGAAGACCACTAAGGGAAATTCTTCAAAGTGCAAGAAAGAGACTGACAATGGCTAATAAAGGTGTTGAAGATGATGTGATGGTGACTCTATGCTTGTTTTCAGGTCAAGAATGTCAGCATTCCACCCTGGCCAGTTTTCTCAGTGGTTAGAGCATCAGTGCATGTACCGAAGGGTTGCAGGTTTGATTCCCATTCAAGGGCCTAACCATGCAGGAGACAACCAATCCATGTGTCTCTCTCACATCGATGTTTCTCTTTCTCTCTCTTCCCCTTCCTCCCTTCCACTCTATGTAAAAATCAGTGGAAAACATCTGTGGTGAGGATTAACAAACAAACAAACAAAGAATGCCAGCATTCTGATCGGGTGGCCATCTGGAGAGAGAACAAGGGGTGTGTATCCATAAAGATTTTTCTTTATCTATTTGGGACAAACTTAAAGTCTTTACCGCTTTAGTACCTTCTTTGAGAAATTTTCATGTTCGATGTTTCCCATGCAATGTCTAGAGCAGGAGTTATTTTTCACGTACATCACAATCCAATTTAGGTTGGTGAATGGTATGGGAAGCTTTGTTCCATGAAGTCACTTAGCGACCAGAACTCCTTCCATCTGGTCTTATTATCAGCTTTAGCAGTGGTTTAGCAATGGTCCGAGGTAGTCAAGGAATGGGAAGAGGGAGAGGATGTGGAGAAGGCTCACCAATTCTTCATTGCCTAGATTCAGAAGTGAAACTCTACTTCTGCTCAAATTCTATTGGTGAGGATAGGTCACATGGCCTTAACTAGCTGTAAGGGGAATGGACAAAGTATTTTAGTTTTGTGCACAGAAAGGGGAATCAAGATTTGGTGAGCATTTGTGACTCTGCTGAAATGTCACTTTCTCTCTGAAGCAAGTGCTTAGGACTGTACCTGGTATACTATAGACACTAAACAAATGTTTGTTGAACAAATGAATGAATGAATGGATGAATACCTATATATAAGCTTCTGCTGTTGTTTTTCTAAGGCAGAAAACAGGAAGGGAATAATTTAAGGGAAAACAGAAAATTATCCCCAGTTTACAAGCACTCTAGGAATTCATATTCTTTTAAAGATTTGTTTTTCCTTCATTCCACAAATCTTTTAGTTCTTTCTGTATGTCAGGTATTTTGCTATGTGTTCAGGAAACAGGTGGAAGTCACGATTCCTGTCTACTGGTAATTCACATGGAATGAGTTTAGTAGGAAGGGGAGAAGGAAGCCAGTGATCACAGTAACCGTACTGTGTACTCCATGCTGGACATATGGATGGATTGTGGCAGGAACTTTGAGGAAGGGTACTTAATTTACTCTGGGGTGAGGGTTGTGGAGTTTCATCTTCCAGAAGATGAATGAACATGAATTTGCCAGTTGGTACCCATCAAATAGAGTTAAAGGAAACTGTAGTGCAAATCTGGCAATTTAGGGAACTATAGTTGATTCAGGTAAAAAATGTGTGGTGGTGGGTGGGGGTCGTAATGGGGGCTGAGCCTGGAGCAACAGGGATGGACTGAGTCACAAATCACTTACAAACTGCACTGAATGAAGGAAGAATGAAATGGGATTAGGACAGGGATTAAGTGATTTATTTGTCTTCTCAAATGAAAGAATCAATATACACAGCAAAATCTGAGCAGCACTGTTACCCACGTCAACCCAAATCTATTTTTTTGCCTCAGCTCTGCCTTAAATAATATGACATTAATAATAGAAACATTAATGTATAACAGTAAAAAGCAAACAAACAAAAACCCACTCAGAATGTTGCACAACGGTCATTTTGGAGGAAGAGGTTAAACACTGGGCACAAAAAAAGGCGTATATACTACAGTATCTACCATTTATATCACTATAGCCTCGCCCCTGAAAGTGGAACAGGAAGAAGGCCCATTTCAAGGAAAATAAAGGAAGTGGTTTCACTGTTTTCAAAGAACTGTTTCTGTTAACAGAGTGACTTCTAAGGAATCCTTTTTACATGGAAGATGGAAGAAAACTAAGAACAATGTGGGGAGCTCTTGCCCTTGGAACTTTTGCATCATTGAAGAGGCTGTTAAGGTTGTTCAGTTAGGGCACCAAGGACTCAGTCCAGTTCAATAAGCATTCATGGATTCATTCATTCTTTATTCATTCAGGCCGTCTTTATGACACTTTTGAGTGAACTATGATGTCAGGTGCCACAGGGAGTAAAAGATAGGTAAAGGTTTTTGTCCTTTTCTCTCTCTCTCTCTCTCTCTCCCATTTGACCCTTCAGTAGAACACATCATACACCTTTAAAAGGCCTCTGAGTCTGAAGTCCAGAGTTGATCTTGACTCTATACTTGGGCAACCATTGTTTGTCTTATTCTCAATACCTACAACTATAAAATGAGAATCATTACAGTTACAGTACATCATAATTGTGAGGATTAAATGGGATGACTCATGTGAAAGCTTTGTATAAACAGTATAGAACTTTGCAAACATTTGTAATAGAGTGAAAAATTATTTAGGGTGAATGTCCTTGGATTTTAAAGCAGTCTTTATCAAAGTGTGTTGGTTGAAACACTAATGCCCTGGGATTGTAACAGGCATTTCTCACTCAAGAAGAGAGTTGTGTGGTCTCTAGGGGAGGTGAAACTTAACTCTTTTAGGGTTTCTGACTAGAAATGGGAATTAAATTGGCACAGGTTTAATAGGAGAAAAGCATACAGATTTTTACATGTACAGGGGGGCACCCATAGGAAACTGAAGACCCCAAGAAGCAGTTAGAGCTGGAAATTTATATACTAAGCTGGACAAAGAGTAGTAAGTAGTGAAAAGGTGACAAGACAAAGAGGTTTGAGCATGGTAGTTAATTGTGAGGTGACTAGGAAGACAAGGGTCAGTTTAACAAGGTTTCTATAGATTTCCCTCAGCCTTCACTTCCACCTCCGGTGATCAGAATGTTTCTTTTCTTTGGTATACAGAGGAATCTTTCACACTGGAGTTTCATTTGCTTTCAGGAAGAAAAAGGAAGGTTCCCTTCTTGCACCTGACATTTTTCAAGTGCCTTTAACTCGAGGTCATTCTTATGCCAAAGTGGCATGTTTTGGGGTGGCATAGTCTAGCACCTTTCGGGTCAAATAAATTTGGGAAACGCAAGATGATACTAACTAAAGCACAGTTTTCAGGTCTGTAAATTTCAAGGAGAGCAACTATATCGTGTTTCTTTCTGTACATTAATTTGATCTTGGATTCTACACCCACCCCACCCCACCTGCGACCCCTCTCCAGCATCTCTAGGACCTAGAGATTAATAGAACACACTTTGGGAAAGACTGCTCTCCAGGAAGAAAAGTATTACCTTTATTTCAATTTATAATCCATTGGTCTCTCAAAAGAACTGAGCTATTTGCCAACAGATAATCTAGGAATTCATTCAACAACTTTACAAGGACAGAGTTAAGTTTCCCACCATGGAAGGCAAAAAGAACAAGAGCCAGCCAACTCCCTGCCAGGGTGCCGGATTTCAGCCTAGAATGGGGACAGGCCATTGTAGTGGGTACCTCTAGGATTCCTTTGAACATACCTACTGTTGGCAAGGTAGTCGGAGATGCAAAACCACAAAAGTGAAGCGATGTGGGCTGATTCTCAAAGACATTATAATTAGGGTATAAAGGCTAAAGTCCAGTAACACTACAACTAAGAAAAGGTTCTGAGCTTCCAAGAAAAGGCTGCAGAAATATCTCTGCCAAGAGAGAGACTGCTCCTTTCTTCACTGTTCAAAGAGGTTCATGAGGCCAACGGCTTTCCTTCTATTCCCCTTCTATCTTTTATCTCTCTTCTGATCCCTCAAAACACTCCAAACTCCGCCTGGCTTCACCTTAGCCCTTTCCCAGGGAGAAGCTGAGAGTTGGGGCTTACAGAGGCAGGCGAAGAGTGGGGAAAGGAGTCGAAGGCGCACGCGCAGTGCGCTCAGGTACAGGCGCCTGCCCCGCCCCGCCCCGCCCCGCCCCGCCCCTCGGCGCGCAGACCCCCGCCGGCCCCGCGGACCTGGGAACGGGGGCGGGACCTCGGGGCGCTGTCGCGCGAGGTAATCCGAGTCACGATTCCCGCGGGAGGCGACGGCAGAGCGCCCACTGCCTGGAGCAGGTAACCCGCCGGGGCCGCGCGGTGTGGAGCAGGGGCGCCCCGAGAGCCGCGCGCGGACGCCGGGCCCCGGCGGGGGAGGGAGCCGCGGGCTTAGGTGCGCTGTCGGCGGCGCTCCCCCGGGCCTCGGGCGGCCGCTGCCCTGCCCCGGGGTCCGGCTGGCGGGGTTCGGGTTGGGGGGTGAGAGCGGCCCTGGGCCCAGCGAGTAGACCCCTCGCCCGGGGCCCCGCGGGGCAGAGTGTGCCACGACTGTCCCGCAGCTCTTTGCGTCTGCTTGAACTTTTTCTCTTTCCCTGTCGCCTTCGATGGGGGCCCGGTGACTGTTCCCGAGTCTCCGTCGCGACTCCTGCTCCCCGGAGGCCGGAGGGAGGCGTAGGGCCCCTGGACCGCCGCGATCGCCGTGGCCTGCAGGGCAGTGACGAGCCCTTGGAGCGGCGTGGGTTGTGGGGTCCGCCGGTCCCCCCGTGGGACCCGGGGCCGGAGGGGGCGACCCCAGCCCCGGCCGGGCGCGCGCTCCGGGGAAGGGGAAGCGGACTTCCTTCGCCTGCAGGGTGTGATGGGAACGGTGAGCCAGTGTTTGAGATGTTTCTGAAACTTTTTTGAAGCGGCGAAGAGGTGTTAAAATGTCACTTTCCTGTGGGTTTTGCAAAACACGGATTATCTACCCAGTTAGATTTTAGACTTGGCATCTGTTTCTTCCAGGTGTTGTTTTTGTTTTTGTTTTCTTTGTTATAGTTTCCTGTAAATAAAGGAAAATATTGTGGGCGAATTGTGGGGTATATTGCACACACAGACGTCCGTCCAGGTGTAGGCAAGACAGGTGCCAAGCCAAAAAAAACATTAATTCCTTTCGAATATTTAAAATACAGCATGTGAAAGGATTGTTTTTGTATTTAAAATATTTTACTGACTCTAACTCCAGGTAGGCAGTTAATAGAGTTCTGTTTTGTGTTTTTTTTAAAGGCCAGGAAATATTGAGAGTTAATAACAGCACCCCTATTTACCAGTTTAATGTTTTGTTATGTAGCATTATCATGGTTAAACATTGCTTTTTCAGAAGGAAATGTTGCTATTGCTTGCTTTTGAGAGCTGGAATTTGAGATTTGCTTTTTATCATCCTTTGTGCTTGTAGTTTTTTGCTAAGGAGTTACCTTCATAACTGGAAGAAAAGATATTGTAAAAGTTTGCTTTTTTTTTTAACCTTTAAGAAAAACAATTTAAATATCTCTTGTATTTTGGGGTTCCTCTGGAATTATAATAAACAATTCAGTTTATAAATTTAATTTATAATTAGAACTAACAAATTGAGAGACCAGTTTCAGGTTGAGAGAAAATGAGTTTGAGATTCTTGCAAGACGTCTGGCAGAGCTGGTGTCCAGTTGGCAGTTTAATAGGTTGGTGTGGGGATTTTCTGAGGTTGGGGTCAGAGTTGTAGATGTTGGAAGCATCTGGATCGTGGCGGTTAATTCTGTGAGTGGAAGAAATCATTCCAGTAAGTAGAGAAGAGAGGAGGATCAAGGATGGGAAATGCCAATATTTAAGTGATAGGTAGACACAGTTAAGGAAACTGAGGAGCAGTCAGGGAAGGAGGAGGAAAACTAGCAGACAGTGGTGTCATATAGAAGCCAGGAGAGGAAAGAGGTTAATGAGAGAAATCTCAGAGTCAAATGAGTCAGAAGAATCCGGAAGATGGGAGCCGATAGAGTGCCTATTGGCTTTGCTAAGAAGAGGGGGTCATCGCTCTCAGCAGTCATAATTTAAGTAAAATGATAGGGATGGAAGCCAACTTTGAATGAATTTGAGGAATAAATAGAAGATGAAATATAGTGTTGAATCCTTATTTTGAGGAACAAAGATTAGAAGTGATGGGGCGGCAGAGGGCAGTTTATAGTCAGATTAGAAAGAAAATAAGGAAAATACCTTTATGTTAAAGTGCATCTCAACAGCATTATTCCTCTCTCAGCAAAAGCTGAGAACAAGTAGCTGAGCATATTGATAAAACTACAGTATTATACAAAAGTGTTTCATCTCCTCCCATTCAAATGATGAGCGTTATTTTAGTGGTATTTTGTTCTGTTGGGTTCAGGTGTTATCAGTGTTAAAGTCACATTGTAACAAACTACTGGACTGTATTTAACCTGAGTTCCAGTACATTGATACTCCCAACTTACTTTTTAAAAAAAATTTATTTATTGTACAGATGGTCCCCTATTTTCCCCTCCTTTGCCCAACTTATACTTTTAACTGGTGATTCTTTCATGTATATTTCAGTGACTCTTCTTAAACTCTTACTAGAAGACATATGTTCTGACTGAATCAGAATCCATGAGGCATACATACATCAATTAGGGCCTTTGCTTCAATCATTATTATGCATTCAAGGGAAAATGCTCTTAGATTAAAATTTTTTTGTAATGAGTTCCACTTCAGTTTCCATTGAAAGTTTAAATTCTTTTGTTATTCAAACAAGTAAGTTTTTGTTGTTGTTAATCCTCATCAGAGGATATTTTTTCATTAATTTTTAGATAGAGTGGAAGGGAGAGAGGGAAAGGCAGAGAGAGAAACATCAGTGTGAGAGAGACACATTGATTGGTTGCCTCTCATGACCCGACCAGGGCTGGGATGGAACCTGCAATCCAGGTACATGCCCTTGACCGGAATCGAACTTTTGACTTTTTGGTCTGCTGGCCGAAACTCTAACCACTGAGTCAAACCGGCCAGGGCAATAGTCATTTCTTTTAAATATTGTAGTTATCTCAGAATGATGGGATGATTGATATTTTTCATTTTCTTCATATAGTTTTCTGTATTTTTTGCATTTTCTACCACAACCATGCATTAACTTAATTTTTAAATGAGAAATTTTTTCATATGTGCAAAGTAGTACTTTTGACACATCCACAGATTTAGAGAATACTAATAAAATAAAAGCCTCTGTACCCATATCATACTTTAGAAATAATATATAGTCAATATTTTTAAAGAATTGACTTATCTTTTTCCTTGATTACCTTTCTCATTCATGCTTGATTTTCTGTAGTTTTACTACATATGTATATATTCCTAAATAATGTATTATTTAGTTGTCTATCACTTTTTTGTGGCACACATTTGTGAGATTCAGCTATGTTGATATGTTATAGTTTGTTTACTTTTTACTGCTGTATATCATTCATTGTATGACTTTATCACTGGTTACCCATCCTCCCGTTAATGGATATTTGGGGGAGTTTACAGTCTTCTTTCTTTCTTTCTTTCTTTCTTTCTTTCTTTCTTTCTTTCTTTCTTTTTTTATCCTCACCCAAGGACATTTTTGCATTTATCTTCAAATAGAGCAGGAGGGAGAAAGAGAGAGAGAGAAACATCTATGTAAGAGAGACACACCAAGTGGTTGCCACCCACACAACCCCAACCAGGGCCGGGGACAAACTGCAACCGAGGTACGTGCCCTTAGTGGGAACCAAACCCAGGACTCTCTAGCCCATGGGCCGACACTCTAACTGCTGAGCCAGACTGGCCAGGGCTACGGTCTTCTTTTTTAAAAAAAATATGTTTTTATTGATTTTTTTTTTTAGAGTGAGAGGAAGGGAGAGAGAGAAACATCGATGTGAGAGAGATATATTGATCGGCTGCCTCTTGCATGTTCCCTACTGGGGACTGAGCCCGCAGCCCCCAACCGGGGCATGTGCCCTGACTGGGAATGGAACCCCGACCTCTCAGTTCATGAGCCACACCAGCCAGGCCAGTCTTCTTTCTTAAATTTAATTTTTACTTTTTGTCATTAAAAGCTGCCTTGTTATTACCATTCTAAACCATATCTCTGTGTCCATCTGCAAGACTGTCCCTAGGTTTTTTGCCTGGGAGTGGATCTTTAGTTTTGCTATATGATACTGAAGTGTTTTATAAAGTGGTTGTACCAGTTTATACTCTCACAAGCAATGTGTTAAGTGTTTGCTTTGTTCTTTTTCTTGGAAGCATTGAGACATTTATGCAACAGCATTTGTATTTATCTGAACTTTTTCTTTTCAACAATTTAGTGGGTGAGAAATTGTACCCCATTGGTAGTTTAATTTACATTTTCTTAATTACTAATGATGTTGAACCTTTTACAATTCTTCTTCAATGAGATGTCTGTATATGTCTTTTGCCTAGTTTTTTATTGTTTCAAAATATCCTTTTAAATTGATTTCTAGAAGTCTTTCAAAAATATATATTAATTTATTTATTCTGGGTACTAATCCCTTGTCAGTTATACATGTGGCAAATATTTTTTTCTTAGTAAGTAGCTGGTCTTCCTGCTTTCTTTATAGTGGTTTTGATGGACATATTCTATAGATTAATGTAGTTGAAATATGTCATCCTTCTCCTAATGGTTGGTGCTTTTGACATCTTCTTTAACAAATCTGTCCCTTCTATGAGGTCATAAAGATATAGCCTGATATTTTTTTCTTAAAGCTTTAAAACATTGCCTTTCATATTTCTGCCTTGAATCCGTGTGAAAATGATTTTTGTATAGTGTGAAATGGGGGCATCTAGTTTGTGTGTGTGTGTGTGTGTGTTTTGCCATATGGGTGGTCTTTTTTCCAGCATTATTTATTGAATATTTTGTTTTTCCTTTTATTGATCTGTAAGTATCATATGTTAACTTTACATGTTTCTGCTGTTTTTTCTTAGGTTTCTTTGTGTGTCTTTGCTGCCATCTTATTTACTTTCATTGTATAACGAGCCTCAGTACCTAAGAGAACAAGTCACCCACCCATGCTTCTTTTAAAACTAGACTTCCCCTCAAATTAACGTTTAATTTCTTCTAAAATAAACTTTTTATTGTAGTATAATGTGTTACTTAGGTCTAAATATCTCTACATAATCACCTGAGGTCACAAGTAATACTGAAGCTACTTTAATGTAGACTTTATCAAACTGTCTTTTTTTGCAAATCCTGTCCTAATTCACTAGAGTTAATTTTAACTTGAAAAGCAAATACAGGATTTTCATATGGGGGA